TTTATCTCCTTGTTTAGCCTGTATTCTTGACTTTAGCATTCATTGTTTTCTGTCTGTCGCCTGGAATAGAACTTGGTTTTGATTGTGTGTGTGTGTGTTTCAGTGAGTGCTGAGGAAGTGAAAAATTTAACTGTCACTCAGCCCATTAACCACAAGACCTTTACATTGTAACTTTTTTGTACTGTTTCCTATTTCTGTACTGGTTTTGCCAATGCACCATATATGTAGGAAAAACTGGTGAAAATGCCTATGATCCAAGAATTTGGTGGGGGTTTTTGTGAAGCTTTTTTTTTTTTTTTGACAGATGAGCTAACGTATTACACCTTGAGCCATTTTGTTGATTCTAAAGTGTTCTTATATGCTGGAACTTCAAATATAGGCCTTTAAAAAAATCTCCGTGTAAATTGGTGATATTTTAGAACCAAATGTGCGATTATAAGTAGTACTTTGGTCAATAACCCCTTAGAATAATAGCCACAGTTTGCAGGGTTTTGTTTTTTCTTTTTTTTTTTTTTTGCTTTTTTATTGGTGTTTTAGCCTACATGTATAAATGTGTGAGGTGCTGGATCCTGGAGTTATAGACAGTTGTGAGATGCCATATGGGTGCTGGGAATCGAACCTGGGTCCTCTTGAAGAGCAGTCAGTGCTCTTAACTGCTGAGCCGTCTCTCTAGCCCCAACAGTTTTGGTTTTATTTTAGAGGATAGGCTCAAGTTTCTGTGGCTTCTATTTAATTATTTCAGTGATGCTGAAAGTTTTGGGTTTTTGTTTTGTTTTGTTTATGACATGGGGAAAGACCAGCAGGATGGCTCAGCATATAAAGGCACTTGCTGTAGAAGTCTGGTGGCTTAGTAGAGAGCTAATTCCACAACACTGTGCTCTGACCTTCACATAGACACCCCTGACACTCATGGCCCCTGAAAATAGAGTAATAATAATAATAATAATAGTGAACTTTGAAGTGAGATGACTTAGCAGTAAGGATGCTTACTGACAAGTCTGACAAGCTGAGTTTGAACCCCTGGACCTACATAGTGGAATTAAAGAACCATGACACTTCTGCAGACTGTCATATTATTTTCACATGTGTATGGCATGCTTGTACCCTACACACAATAAATACATATTAAAATATTCTTGTAATTTATTTAGCATTGCATATGTGTATACATGAATGGGTACATGACATCTTTAGATGTGGAGGTCAAAAGCTGCAGTTTAGTCCTTTTGCAGGACATCTGGTTTGTTATGTCAGTGCTGGGATCTGAAATCCAACTTATTGATTGAGCAGGAAGCACTGTTAACTGCTGAGCCATCTCTCTAGCCCCATAATAATTTTAAAATGTGGGGTGATAGAGGGTTAGAGTTTTTTTTATTGGAAGATGAGTGGAGAGATTATTAAATAAACAGGGAATAAAGGCAATAAATGAGGAGTCTGGAAAGTTGGCTCAGCAGTTAAGAGCACTTGTTACTTTGGCAGAGGATTTGGGCTCAGTTCCCAACATCCACAGGATAACTTAAAACTCCAGTTCCAGAGAATGCAGCACCCTCTTCTGATCTTTTTGGCACTGCATGTGATACACAGACATACATACAGGCAAAACACATACACATAAAATAATTCTAAGACACACACACAGAAAGAGATTGCTTGTACTGCTCTTGCAGAGGACCCAAGTTTGAGTCCTAGCACCAACATGGAGTGACTCCCAGTTCCTGGGGGATCCAAACCTCCAAGAACATCTGCACTCATGTCCAGTATCCACACGCAAACACATAGACACATAATTTGAAAGAAATAACATCTTTTTTAAAAAGTAATATGATATATAGAGTTAAAAGAATAAAAGCTGTGGAATTCCTGACATGTAATTGTTTGTATAAAGTAGTATCCTTTGACCAGGGATACTGTCCTACCCAGGAAGAATGTGGTGATGTATGAGAGTCAAAAGCACTAAGTTCAAGATGGTGCTTACCTCTGGAGACAAGATAGGTAGGGTAAGATGAGGACGTGCCAAGGGGTTTCCGTCATGTGTGTAATGATTACATCTTGCCTTCATACTGGGTGGGTAGGTCTTTTTTATTTTTTGTTCTCTGTACTACTTGCTTATCCAAAATATTTCTAGTTTTAAGTTCAGGTGGCCTCTCACCCCTACTCCTTAGTTCCTCTCCCAGAATTGTTCAGGAGTCAAAAGCCTACTGATTTGTCTGAACCTTTCCAGTGATGTATACATGGACAGGAATTACATTTATGTAAAACTATTTCTCCCATGTTTAAAAGTCCTTTTTACAGTTTTCTTTATGTAGTTTTATACCTATGTCTTATAAATATATCTTAGAGATTATATTGTATCAATATATAGTTTTTAATGAAAGTGACTCTTTGTCAGCAATAATATTGTTGGCATTATGCTATATTTTGAACTTTATTTGCTAATGTATATATTGCTTTTGTTATATATCATCTGCTTAGCCAGCAGGAAATCCAAGTTTTTCTCTAATTCCTCTTTACAAATATTCCTCTAGCAGAGTGAGTTCCAGGACAGCTAGAGCTATTGCACAGAGACACTTTGTCTTGAAAAACAACTAATAAATAAAAATTTTAAAGATATATATAAAAAAAAACCAAATATTCCTCAAGATTCCCATGGAGGTTTTATCTGTAGTTCTTCTCTAGTTTGTAAGTCATGTTCCCTTTTAAGGAATGACAATGGGGGCCAGGTGGTGGTGGCTGATGTTTTAATCCCAGCACTTGGGAGGCATAGGCAGGCAGATCACTGTGAATTCGAGGCCAGCCTGGTCTACAAGAGCTAGTTCCAGGACAGGCTCCAAAGCAACACAGAGGAACCCTGTCTCGAAAAACAATACAAAACAAAGAATGAATATGGAGGAGGCAGATTCGGCTTTAGAGCTTGGGTTCGAATCCTCTATTTCTGGTCTTGGGCGTTAGTTCATTCATTTCTTAATCTGTAAAGGTAATTTAGTATTTCTTTGCTTGTGAAGTTCTGTTAAGAATTGAATGAGAGCCAGGTGGTGGTGGTGCACACCTTTAATCCCAGCCCTAGAGAGGAGTATAAAATGGGAAGAGACAGCTCTCAGACACAGTCTCATTCTGAGATTCCTGGAGGCAGGATCGCCATTTTCAGACTGAGGTCGAGGTAAGAGCCAGTGGCTGGCTGCTTTGCTTTTTGGGTCTTCATGTTGAACCCCAGTTTCTCTCTCTGAGTTTTTATTAATTGTGCTTCGCCTGGCACTGGGAGGCAGAGGCAGGCAGATCCCTGAGTTCTAGGCCAGCCTGATCTATAGAATGAGTTCCAGGACAGTCTCCAAAGCTACAGAGAAAACCTGTCTCGAACCTCCCCCCACCCCACCCCCAAAATTGAATGGGTTAAAGTGCTTAACACATGGGAAGTGTTGTAAAGTATTAGCTATTTTTTCCTATTTCTTTTGTATTGTTGATTGATATTCATGCTGCTGCCAATCTCTCGATGGATAACTCTGCCTTCCCCCACTGACCCCCTCAGGCCTTGGTTTCATTTTTGGAATCTGCTTCTTCTTATTACTTTTTTTTTTTTAGACCGGGTTTCTCTGTAGCTTTGGAGCCTGTCCTGGAAACTAGCTCTTGTAGAGCAGGCTGAACCTATACTCATAGAGATCTGCCTGCCTCTGTCTCCTGAGTGCTGGGATTAAAGGCGAACGCTACCACTGCCCGGCTGGAATCTGCTTTTTCAAAGCATGTTCTCCTAGTCCCTGGTGACCCCCATTAAACTGCAGCTGCCTTCTCCCTACAGCACCAGGGCTGTTGGTATAGCTGGGGGGAGGTGGTGGCGAAGTGCAGCCTCCCACCTGCCTAGAACTAACTTTGCTGTGTCCTTGCTAGTCAGAGTCACAGTCACATAGTTTGTCTTGGCCAGAGCTTGCGTGCATATCCTTGTGCAGAGTTTTCCCTTAGGCTCCTTTGCCTACTCCATTTTCTTACCTGGAGAATCTGCATCCAGGTAGCGTCCAAGCCTAGCTGAGAGGAGGTCAGGTAGGCTCTTTCTCGTGAGCTCCCAGGCCCCATATAAACTGCGGTATGGCTAAGTTCCACAGACACTTCATGACGACAAGGAGGCCAGTGTCTCCTGAATGCCAGAGGATCTCCAAAGAAAACTGAGTTCTGGCCCTTCCAGCTAGAAAGAGAGCTTGGGCTCACAGCCAGGGAAGATGCCCTGTATTCCCACTTACAACTAACATTTGAGTAGCAGTTTCTATGACAACCGAGTTTTCACTAATTCTGAGCCACACATGGGTATCCCATTTCCATCTCGCCAATGAAGAAACATCATTAGAAACATGATCATGCTGGGCAGTGGTGGCACACACCTTTAATCCCAGCCCTTGGGAGGCAGAAGCAAGTGGATCTCTGTGAGTTCGAGACCAGCCTAGTCTACAGAAGAGTTCCAGGACAGCTATGGCTGTTACACAGAGAAACACTGTCTTGAAAAACCAGGGAGGGAGGGAGGGAGGGAAGGAGGGAGTGGATGGGAGGGGAGAAGATTGGGGTAGAACTCAGAAGTAGAGGGTTTACCTGGTGTAGATGAGATCCTGGACTCATCTCTAGAACCTTGAGGGAAGTACGCCTGGGGTTTGCCTAGCATGTGCAAGGCCCTAGGTTTGATCAAATACATATACACACCAAAGAAACAATTACATAGAAAGGGATGAGCATTTTTCTTACTCGTGTCACTCAAGCAAAGATACCTTCTTACGTGGTTAAAAAAAAAGACCGTGTCATACAGTTCAATAGAGTTTATCTCAGTTGTCATAATGGAAGGGGTTTGATGTTAGATAGGGTGTCAGGTTAACAGTGTTGAGTATTTTCATTTAAAATTAGGCCTTAATGCCCTAGGTTTGTGTGAGCTGTAACTAGTTTTGTGTATCAATATATGTATATGTAATATTTATGTAGAAGTATTTTTAGATATGTATAAACACATCTATACATCTGATTTTTCTCAGAGCCACAATGGATACTGCTAGCCACAGCCTTGTCCTTCTGCAACAGCTGAACATGCAGCGAGAATTTGGTTTTCTGTGTGATTGCACAGTTGCTATTGGAGATGTTTACTTCAAAGCCCACAGAGCGGTACTTGCTGCCTTTTCCAACTATTTCAAGATGATATTTATTCACCAAACAAGGTAAGAATGTGCTCTTGTAAATTGGAAGAATTTCTAATATTGTGATACATGGTCTTACTATATCATTTAAGGGACTGTTATGGGATAGCTAATACAAAATTTTAATTATAATAACTTTATATATGAGTAATTGATCTATCTCAGTACATAGTATCTATAGTAGAACATATTAATGAAAACAAGTATAACCAAAATTGATTAGGGCTTGGCCCAGCCTGGTGTGGTGGTGCAAGTCTTAAATCTTACCGTTTGGGAGGGACAAGCAAGTGGATCTCTGAGTTTGAGGCCAACTTGCTACATAGTGAGTTCAGTCCAGCCAAGGCTACCTAATGAGACCCTATCTTGAAAAAACATCCCAAACAAAAAAGGCTTAGCCAGTGCCCAAACATTAATCCTGTAATGCTGCGTACTCCACTGTTTTCCAGGTCTTAGAGAAAAGGCAGCTGATCACTTGGGCACAGTGTAGCTCTGTCTGAAGCTCACCGTCTGCTGTAAGTGCCAGGCTATTGATTTCTCGTGCAGCAACACTGCAGTGTCATAGCCTGCCATCACATTCCACACACCAGCCAAGATCATGTGCTTCACGTGTTTGTTTGGTTTGTTCTTTTTGATCCTTTGCATTTTTTAAAATTTAGGTAACATAGGAATTCAAATTCTTTTTTTTTAATAATTTTATTTAACTTTATTTCATGTGAGTTGGTGTAAAGGTGTCAGATTCCCTAAGACTGGACAGTTGTGAGCTGCCCTGTGGGTGCTGGGAATTGAACCCGGATCCTCTGAAAGAGGAGCCAGTGCTCTTAACCTCTGAGCCATCTCTCCAGCCCAGGAATTAAAATTCTTAGCTCTTTGTTTATATATAATTTTGAGATAGCATCTCACTAAGTTGCGCAGGCTGGCCTTGAACTCACTCAGTACCCAGGAGGACCTTGAACTTGAGAACGTGCTGCTTTGTTTGTATTGGCTGCAGTCTCGCTTTAGCCCACGTTGGCTGACTCCATTGCTGAAGCCTAGAGGAGAGCAGAGGGCATGACAGAGAAGCTGCCCACTTCCTAGTAGGCAGGAAGAAAGCAGAAACAGTGCAGACAGAGAGAAGTAGCCCTGGGAGATACGTTCTTAGTAACTCTTCTTCCACCTTGGCCCCATCTCCTAGTTTCTACCACCTACTAGTAATGCGTGGACTGATTAATACACTGATGAAGCCAGAGTCCTCATGACTCAGTCACTTCCTTAAAACCCATCAGTTGGCTACCAAGTCGGCACATGAGCCTTGAGGGGACAGTTCACACTCACATCCTGACACTCAGCTTTCTTGTCTGTTAAATGCTGGAATAGTGTACTTTCCTTTCGGGTATTGAAAGATTAAATGAATTAGTAAAATTAAAATGCTTAGAACAGCCAGGTGTGGTGGCACATGCCTTTAATCCCAGCACTGAGGAGGTAGAGGCAGGCAGATCTCCCAGTTTGAGGTCATCCTGGTCTACAGAACAAGTTCCAGGATAGCTAGGGCTATGGAGAGAAACCATGTCTTGGGGGGAAAAGTGCGTAGGAACAGAGATTTGCTGTTACTAATGTGGTGTCTAACGTCAGGGTATATTCAAAGTGAAAGAGTTCTGGCAGGCCTGTTTTGAGACGTTTGGAACAGACTTTACAAATCTGAGAAATCGGGAGCCCTTCAGGTGTTGCAGAGGAATAATATAAAATGTATTGCAATCAGAGGGGAAATGGCAAGGATCGAGGATAGGTAGCTAAAGCTAGTAATCCCAGCACTTTAGATACAGAGACAGGAGGATCACTGAGTTTGAGGCCAGCCTGGGCTATATTGTAAATGTCAGGCCTGAACTACATAGTAAGACCCTGTCTCAAAAAATCAAAATGAAAGAAAAGTGGTATAAAAACATTTATAGGTATGAAGCAAATGTGGTCACCAAGTCAACAGAGTAGATGAGGTGATCAGAAAGTGTGGCCCAGTGCAAAGATGGGGTCAGAATGTTAGCCAGGTAATGGGAAGTCCTTTCTGCTAGAGGAGTTTTGTATCTGCTGTGACACTGTAGATCACATTCACCCCTCAGCCTTTGAGCTGTGACTTGTGAGTTTAGAAGCAGTGAGCATCTGAATGAAGCCCCTGTTGTGAGCTAGGTGCTGTCCAAACACAGGCATTGGGAAAGGTGAGGCCTGCCCTATGTTGTCTTTGTGTTAAGCAGCTAAACTCCACATAACAGAATTCTGAACTTATATCCCCAAAAATGCTTGTCACACAACATGCCAGTTAATAGACAGCGCAGAACAAAAAGCATGAAACCTAAGAGAGGAAGCAGGGATCCCCAGATCCTGGGGATAGAGAAACTGGATTGCAATATGCTGAATCCCAGTGCATCCAACTCTGAGAATAAACATCTGCTCAGGGAAACTGAGTCCACTGATGCTGTCCATGCTTCTGCACATGCATGATTTTCTTAGCTGTTTCTACTCCAACTTTACAGAGCTTTACTCTGTTTTTCTGTCTAGTAGCCAGATTGAATTTGAGATTACTATAGTGTTTTTCAAAATTATACCTGTGTTCATTTGTGATTTAAAGATTTAGAAGCCAGGGCTGGAGAAATGGCTCAGTGGTTAAGATTTAGAAGCCAAATAAACTTAGCATCATTTACGTCTTAAATTTTAACAATTTTATTCTATTCCTTTAAAACTATGAATACTTGGTTTGGTTTGGTTTAGTTTGCTTTTGTTTGTTTGATTGTCATTTTGTTTGTTTGTCTATTTCTAAGAGTGTTTTGCCTGCATGTTTTGAGCAGGTCCTCTGCCAGAGAGAGCAGTTAATGCTCTTAACCGCTGAGCCATCTCTCCAGCCCCTGGTTTTGGTTTTTGATGTAGGGTCTCATTATAATTAACAGTTTTAAATCATCCGACTTAATGGCAGTAATTACATTGATAATGTTCTACCTGCAACTGTCACTGTTTCCAAAGCCTTTTCATCACCCTAAACAGAACACTGTACCTTTAAGCAGTAACTTTCCATTTTCCTTCAGCCGCCTGTAACTACCCCTTATCTAACTGTAGGTTTCCCCTAACCCCATACGTTTCTGTCCTTTGTATATGGTTGTTTGGCCTGCATGTATATCTGTGCTCCAGTTGCATGCCTGATGCCCACTAAGCCAGAAAAGGGCATTGGGTCCCCTAGAACTGGAGTTACAGACAATTGTGAGCCACATATGGGTGCTGGGAATGAAACCAGATCTTCTGGAAGAACAGCGATTTTTTTTCTTTTTGTTCCACTGAGCCATTTCTCCAGCCTAGTTCTTTTTTTAAAAATGTGTTTGCCCTAGATATTTCTTTTTCTTTCAGGTTGTTTTTTTGTTTTGTTTTGTTTTGTCTTGTCTTGTCTTTTTTTCTTTTTTCTTTTCTTTTTTTGAGACAGGGCTTCTTCTTGTATCCGTGGCTGTTGATGAGTGCTGGGATTTTAAGGCATGTGCCACCATGCCCAGCTTTGTTTTAGCTATTTCATGAACATGGTACCATACAATTTTTTAACTTTTTTGCCTGACTTTTTTCATTTAGCTTGTTTTTAAGAGTTCAACCTTGTTATAACACACAGCAGAATTTCCTTATTTTGTTATGGTAGAATAATATACCATTGTATTTTTTTAAAGATTTATTTACTTATTTTATGCATGAGTGCTCTATCGGCATGCCTAACTTTATGCCAGATGGAACATCAGATCCCACTGGAGATGGTTGAGAGCCACCATGTGGTTGCTGGGAATTGAACTCAGGACCTCTAGAAGAATAGGTGATACTCTTAACCGCTGAGCCATCTCTCCAGCCCTATACCATTGTATTTACAGCCCCATTTCATTTATCCCTTTTTTCCCTCTTTTTTTGAGTCAGGGTCTGTCTAGTAGCCTTGACAGTTCTGGAACCTACTTAGCTCAGGGCAGCCTCAAACTCAGAGACTCTCCTGCCTCTGTCTCCCCAGTGCTGGGATTAAAGGCTATACCACTGCACTCGGCTGGATTCATCTTTTGATGGATTGTTTCCAGCTTTAGCTACTGTCAACAATGCTGCTCTGAACACCACCATATAAGTGTCCTTTTGAGTCTCTGTGTTTAGTTCCTTTAATGTGTTCAGTGTAAAAGCAGAGCACCTGCTTTAGTCTCTAGTTTTCTGTCCTCTCACCTAGAGCAGATGCTACTGCTCAGGAGTCTCTCAGTGTTGCACTAATCTGAGTGTCCATCTGTGTTTCCTGTGCTGGCCAGCAGACTGGATGTACAAAGGTTTGTGGATGGACCATAAAAGCAGTTAGGATCAGAAACTGATTTCTTGTTACTATATTTCATCAAGGCAGATTGCCAGATTTAAACCTCATGAAGAATTTGTCTTAATCTAAGATTGCTGGAAACCAAAAGACCAACTAGGTTGTGTTTCATTTCATTGAGTTTGTTTTTGTTTTAACAGTGAATGCATAAAAATACAACCAACTGACATCCAGCCTGATATATTCAGCTACTTGTTGCACATTATGTACACAGGAAAAGGGCCCAAACAGATGGTGGACCACAGTCGTTTGGAGGAAGGGATCCGATTTCTCCATGCTGACTACCTTTCCCACATTGCAACTGAAGTGAATCAAGTGTTCTCACCAGAGACTGTGCAGACCTCAAATCTCTATGGTATTCAGATTTCAACAACCCAGAAAACAGCTGTCAAACAAGGGCTGGAGATGAAAGAAACCCCTCCCAGTAGCAGTGGGAACAGAGCTGCTGTCCAAGGTGACCACCCACAGCTGCAGCTCTCCCTTGCGATTGGGCTGGACGATGGGAGTGCAGAGCAGCAGAGGGCCCATCCTGCTGCCCAGGCCTTGGAGGAGCACCAGAAGCCCCCGGTGTCCATCAAACAAGAGAGATGTGATCCAGAGTCTGCGATCTCCCAAGGCCTCTCCTCGTCTTCATCAGAAGTGACTGGCCCCTCTTTTACAGAAAACAGTATCAAAGTCCACTTATGCCATTACTGTGGGGAGCGTTTCGAATCCCGTGGTAACCTGAGACAGCACCTCCATACCCATGTGTCTGGATCTCTCCCGTTTGGTGTCCCTGCTTCCATTTTGGAAAGTAATGACCTTGGTGAAGTGCATCCACTTAGTGACAGCAGCGAGGCTCTTGACTGCCGGAGGCTTAGCTCCTTCATTGTCAAGGAGAAGGAGCAGCAGCAGCCTCCGCCTGAGCACTCGGGCCGGGGTCCCACGGAGCCTTTACAGATCAGTCAAGTGTCTTTGATCTCCAAAGATACAGAGCCAGTAGAATTAAACTGTAATTTTTCTTTTTCAAGAAAAAGAAAAATCAGTTGTACCATCTGTGGTCATAAATTTCTTCGAAAGAGCCAGTTACTGGAACACATGTATGCACATAAAGGTAAATCTTACAGATATAACAGATGCCAGAGGTTTGGGAATTCACTGGCCCAGAGGTTTCAGCAGTATTGTGACAGCTGGCCCGATGTCCCCCTGAAAAGTTCTCGCTTGTCACAAGAACATTTAGACTTGCCTTGTGCCTTAGAGTCGGAGCTCACCCCAGGAAGTGTGGATACCATCCTTGTTGAGTAGCAGCTTCTCCTTTAGAATTTTTATACCAGTCTTGGAAAAGATTCATACGCCATTTTAAATTCATAAATTATTTACTTCCTCATGGTCTGTTGACTTAAAATAATCTGTCCCTGGTTTTGAGGTTTACATACCAGTTCTTATTATAAGACATGGTTATTAAATGTAACTTTCCAATTACCCTATGAACTTTTCTATAAATTAAATGATAATTTGAAAATCAGAAGTCAATGTATAAACTTCAAAGTGACTGATTATTTATAAAATATCTTGTTTTTCCAGGTTACAGAGTCAGTAAGATGAACTTGCATATGAAGCAGATGAGATCTGTTTTAAAGAATGTTTTAGAGGCCGGGAGTGAAGCTCATCTGTAGAGGGCTTGCCTACATGTGTGAGGCTCTAGGCTCAGTCTTCAGCGCACACACAGACAAACGCACTTCAAACTGTCACTCTTGTCTCATGTTTCATATGAATTATGTCCTCATGAAAATGACTTTTAAATATTTTCTGACATACAGGAAGTCTGTAGTTATTTTAATGTATAACTATATATTATAATGTATAAATGTATATTATAATGTTCTAAGACATGGCTATACCAAATCACGAGTAGTTTTACTGTCTACATCCTAGTCCCCAGCCTCTTACATGGCCTCTTATTTAATTAACATCAAGTATACCTCATTTTTTAATAAAAAATATTCCAGCTAGAAGAAAGGACTGGAGAAGCCAGTGCTAAGGAAGTCTTGGACAGAGAAACCAGTTCATACATATATCCAAGCACAGAGGCGGGCTCTGAACCGTCCCTGGGCCAGCGAGCACAGCTACTGTGTCTTTACACACCCAAGGGCAATTTCAGATTTCTATAGCGAGAGGTTTACCTAGATTTGAAGAGAAAAATAAGATACAAACCATCTCTCTAGCTTAACGCAGCAGAATTGTCTAGGCTGTCTGGGTTGATGGTAATTTTCTGAAAGTCACTCTTACAGGTAATTTTGCAGTATAGTGTGGCTTTCACTTCTTCTGTTAGTAAAACTAGTGAAGTAGGTACATCCAGTGTTCCAGGCCTATTTAAAACCCACGCTGGCAGCTCCCCTTTTGTGAATATACTTAACTTCTCTTCTATAGTGGTGACACTTAGAAACTTAAAACCCCAGAAAAATTGAAGTTGATGGACTAAGTGATGGATTTACTGTACCTAAAACATAGCCCATCAAATTTCATTGTTTCTGAAGTGTTTAAGTTTGAAGCTCTGCAGTCAAGGATAAGAAGGCAAGAGAGACTGCAGAAGAGCCCTCCTCCTTCCCCTATCCTATTAAAGCCTAGGCTTCACAGACATTTGAAGAACACCTGAGATGGTCCTGATCCCTGCCCGCCCCCAAGTTTGGAAACAGTCTTGGTATGTGACCCAGGTTGGCCTTAAGCTCTTGGGCATAGCAGTTTTCTGTTTCAGTTTGCCGAGTGGCCGGGCATGTGCCATCTCACAGGTGTTTGAATACATCTAGTAAACGTGATGCTTAGATTTTAGCCACATGCAAAGTCTGAACTGCTCCTGCTCCCATAGAACACCTCTGAAGACATTTCTTAGAGATTCTTCCCCCTGTTTGTGGGGAGCCTAGAGTAATCCAGCTAATTCTGAAACAAAAATCCTTTCTGGGTAAACGGTGAGTTCAGACGGAATAACAAAGCAGTGGTTTCAGAGATACTCTTGCCTGCCTCTCCGCCCAGAACTCGTGAGGTTGATCTCTTGTGAGTTCAAGGCCAGCCTGGTTTATAGAGTGAGTTCTAGACCAGTTAGCTACATAGTGAGACCCTGTTTCAAACAAACAAAAATCACATATGCAAACCACATACCAAACCAAAGTAGCAGTTTTGTTGTCTTTGGTTTTTGAGACTTTCTTGCTATATGGCCCACGCTGACTTTGAACTCACCATCTTCCTCCCCTGCCTTCTTAGTGCTGGGATTATGGGCTGTACCACCAGCCAGGCTTCAGAGTGGTAACTTGAGGGTCGGGTGAAGAACCCCATTAGTGTTGTCTTAAGGTAGTTGAATTTCTGATTTAGAGACTTAGCCTCTGGGGTCAAGACCCATGTGTAGAGAGCAAAATCTAGTTAGAGGGGTTGGTTAAACAAGTATGCTGTTATGTATGGGGGTATTACAATTATATATAATCTTAAACTATTCATTAAAGCACTACTCAGCCATACTACCTTAAATGATTTAACCTTATAGAAACTCAAATACCAATTTAATATATTTTAAACTGTTTAGGATATATTTCCTACTTTTAATTTTTCTTTTTTTTTAAGATACAGTGTCATGTTTAGCCCAGGCTGGCCCCAAACACACTATATAGCTGAGGATGGTTTTAAACTCCTGATCTGCCTGCTCTTCCTCCAGGCACTGGCACTATAGTTGTGCACCCCCTCCACCATGCCCAACTTTCCTTAGCCTTCTCAAATATAAAAAACCCTAACAATTCTCACTTAAATCTTTTCAACTTTTCTGTAATCTTCCTTGCATACCAAGTCATCAGTCTTACACACAAGAGGCCCTTATATAGCCGAAGGGTGGAAACAGAGGCTTTCAGGGTAGGTGAAGGACAGTCAGGAGAGATGCTGACAGAGCTTGCCTACAGCTAATGGCCATGTCAGACACTTCTACTTAAAGTGGAACTGTGATGTGGGATTTCCCCCTATGCTGTGAATATGTTTTTACAGAAATGGGTTAATGTAAGAAGTAAGAGCTAACTAGGAATACACTAGAGTCATTGACCACACGGTGTTGTGATTAGTATAGTTTCTGTGTGATTATTCGGCTCTGGGCAGCTGGGGAATGAACGAGCAGTCTCGGCTTACAGAACCGTATGCAGAAGAGTTAGTAAACATATGTTAGTAAATGAAACGGAATTGTACCTAGAGTCTGGGGAGTAAAGTCATCGCTGCTCACAGATTGGAAGCTGAGGTGAGAGCTAGGTATGGCGCCTCTTGTCCCAGTGCTGGTGGAGGAGTAGAGACAGGCGGGCAGCAGGTGCTCTCAGGCCAGCCCCGCAGAGAGAAGCTCCAGGTTCCGAGAGATCCATGTCTCAAAAACAGGTGGAGAAGTGATTATGGAAGACGTGGTCTCTGGTCTCAACACATGCCCACATGTTTGTGCACACCCACACACATGCATACCCCACACACATACAGAATAAGTGGAAGTCTGTGAGCTTGGAGAAAATATTAGTTCACCTGGTTCCTATCGCTTTTAAAGTTCTCTCATGCCAAGAGCTTTACTCGATTCCTCTCATTTACAAAGCTCCTTTTCATACCAGACCAAAAAGACAAAATGCTGGGTCTTGCCCATCTGTAACCCAGCTGTCAGTAGACTGAGGCAAGACGAGCCTGGAGCTACGTGGCGAGACCCTGACTCAGTCTGCAATAACATTGTTTTAGGAAGTGGAGAAATGTTAGTTTCGTTTTATGGGAAAAGTTCCCCAAAGCTAGTTTTTACAGAGGCATGTAGTCACTGGGATGGTATCTGCTGTCACTTTGTTTTGATTTTTGAAGATTTATTTATCTTTATGTTATGTGTTAAGTGTTTTGCTGTCTTCTGTACATAGCATGCATGCAGTCCCCTGGAGGCCAGGAAAGGGCATCAGAGCCTCCGGAACTCAAGTGGGTGTGGGAACTGAGCCCAGGTCCTCCTCCAGAGCAGCAAGTACCCTTAAACACTGAGTCATCCATTTCTCCAGCCTGTTTTGACTTTTTGAGGTGAGGTCTCACTGTATGGCCCATGCTGGCCTGGAACAGTCTCTTGTCAACCTCCTAAGGGCTGGGATGGCAGACATGTATTGTCGTGGGTAGTTTTGGTTTTGGTTTTTAAGGACATGATTTGTCATTGGGGTGGGGAAAAGTCTTCATACTTTAAAAGTTTTTCCAGAGAAACAGCCTTGCTCTTTACCACATCTGTAAAATGGAGCTTTGTCTCTGTCTTAAGCAGTGTGGTTTGGGTAATGGTTGCCAAGTTGAACCAGGAGTTGCTTGCTGGATGTACTTTGTTGCCAAATGCCGCCCTCTTGTGTTGAGGTAAATAATCTCTGCTGGCTCACATTTTGAAGGCATGGTGGGGAAAAAGCCCTGGTTCTTACCAACCGGCTCTGTATTAGGCAGATTTTTAATAGATCTTCTCCACTCTGGCCAGCTTTAAACCCCCTCTTCTCCCTGGATCCTGCGTCATGGTGTTTTCTGGAGAAAAGTAGAGGCGTCTCAGCATTTGTTCTTAGTGGGGGAACCCAGTAAATGCAGTCTGCCTTCAAACCAATGTTGTTGTTTTTATTGTATAACCTTGAGATGGTTACTCACTTCTCCGACTGACCTCCCAGGTAAAGTGGGTGTCAACAGCACCCACCTCACAGGGATACAGTCAGTACCGTCGGGCTTAAGACTAAAATTGTGTTAGTGTAGTGATGACAACCAGCCTCTGAGGAAACCTTCATAGCTGGAGCCCTAGTCAGTATTTCTTCCTGTAGATTCTAGAACGTGTTTGAAGCTATCATGTACTACTTACTAGCCAATTAGCTGAGGAAACTGGTTTTTACAAAAATACTCTGGAAATAGCAGTGTTATGTAAATTCTTACTCTACTGTTTTCTACTCTTCGGCAAGGAAAAGGAGGATTAGCATTGTTGGGAATAAAATACACTACTTCAGTATTAAAGAGACTTTCTCCCAAATACATTGTTTCCATTAAAAAAAAAACAAATAAAATTGAAAAAAAAATCCCATCGTTTCTTGGAATGAAGATGGTCTAAACAGTAGACGGAGGAAAGAAGTGGGATGAGGACGCCACCTAGTAGCTCGCCAAGGTTCTGAGCTAACTCTGGAGAAGCCTTCCCGAACACTGACGGAAGCTGCTGGTGGTCGTGAAGAGCGAGGACAGACCCTGCAGCCTGTCTGCACAGGCAGTTCTTGATATGGAAACCGGATTCCTGACGAAGACTTGATAGGTGTTTGTGTGGTGACTGCATTAGAAGTAGGTCGTGTGGAGAACTTTTACAGTGTAACCTGTGTGTTTTCGTGTGCTTAAACTTTATCTGTGACATTTCATTATGATAAGTTGTTAAATTCCTAGGAGTGAACCCTGTAAATGCTTCTGTGCTAACCACGTCTGTGTAATTGGTCTTTCTTTTTAACCTGGTATGTCACCTGGCCCTAAATCTGGGTGTCTTAATGCAAGTATCCCAAACTGACTTTCATCCTAGATTGCGAGAGTCCGTTGTGCTTCGGAGTGTGGGTGTGTGGGTGTGTGTGTGCAGCTGCCCTCAGCTCCCCTGCTGTGTATGAACTATAGTCACCTCACCACAGTAGAACAGAATAGAAACTTAAATTACTCAAAAAGAAACTCCGGTCCAGCCTGGTACCGCATATCTCTTCCAGTACTCAGGAAGCTAAAGCAGTAAGACTGTGAGATCAAGGCCAGGCTGATCTTATTTCTTAAAAAGAAAAAACCAAAAGAGTCTAGAGAAATGCCTCAATAGTTAAGAGCACTGACTGCTCTTCTAAAGGACCCAGATTTGTACTGAGTACCCATATCAGGCATCTTAACTACAGGAGGATCCAACACCCTTAATTTCCGACGTACCTGTAATCGTGTGTGCACATATCCATGCACACATAATTAAAAATAAGCCCCAAACTAACCTAAGAGCTTCCATAATTAAAAAGACCTAATGAATCCTCAGGTTATCAGGCACACAGAGCAGATGTAGGACGACAATACACTGTAGGGTTTTACTTCCGTGTGACATGCCACAAATTGCCTCAGGAGTGCTATACCGAGTTTTGTCTCCCAGCTGGAGTGGAAACTGACTTTCATCTGTTTTATGAAGACACGTCCCTTGATCTAGTGACAACAGAATATTGGCTTGTGGATTTCTATCTAGTCATTTTGGACTTAATACTGATCCAATGGAATGCATGATGTGTTTACTCCGAAGTCAGTTCTCTTAGGGTTGTCCTTTATGTCAGCTTTAGAAGATGTTCAATTGGATTATTAAAGTCGGAAGTAGAGCTGCAGGAAGGGCTTAGTAGGTAAAGTGCCTCTTGACAAGCATCAGGACCCAAGTTTGTGTCGCCAGGGCTCACATACAAAGCCGGTGCTGTTGCACACGCCTGTAACTGCAGTATGTGGTGGAGGGGTGGGGGCATGGTAGATCCCTGAAGGTCATTGATTCAGCGAGAGCTGTGAAGAAAGACCCGTTTGCAGCCTCACGTGCACATGCGCCTGCCCACACTGACAAGTGCACACACAACACACTACCAGCAGAAGGGAAATAAAGTTAGATATATGTATTCATTAACAAAAAAAAATCCAGCCTCAAACTCATAGTCCTCTTACCTCAGCCTCCCAAGTTCTGGGATGATAGCCTTACGCTTCCACTTTTAGGTCAAGACAGTTTTAAATCTGATGTTTAAAGTAAGTAATTGGCTGGGTAGTGGTAGCACACGCCTTTAATCCCAGCACTGGGGAGGCAGAGGCAGGGGAAGCTCTGTGAGTTCGAGGCCAGCCTGGTCTACAAGAGCTAGTTCCAGGACAGGCTCCAAAGCTACAGAGAAACCTTGTCTTGAAAAACCAAACCAAAACAAAAAACAACAACAAAATTAAGTAATTGTATCTCTAAAGTCTGTTAAAAGAAAAATATGATGGTAATTTATAATGCGTGTGAATTTTAATCTGGCCAAAAGATGGCACCAGTGTACCATAAAAATGGTGTTCTTCCCTGTTTGGGCATTACCCTTCAGCTCATTTGGTGTTTGATGAACTCCGTCTGGACCCTCCCTTACCTTACAGTCAGTTCTGTTAGGTAACAGCGACTTGGCAGCCCTCTGTGCATCTGACTTACAAGAAACACAGCCACATATAACACACTTATGGTTGTGCCATTGAACAAGCCTGAGGATTTTTGCATGTCATTAAGAGTAAGGTCATGGGACATTGACTCTCCTGATCATATATCGAACTCAGTTAATGTTTACCTGCTCGAGAACCAAGTGGAGACATTCGGGGAAATCCTACCTTGCTTGGTCCTTTCTTTCTTTCTTTTATTGGCATATATTTATTGCACGTAGTGTGGGTTTCATAAAGTCAACTTCAGGTATGTCATGTGCTCTGACTCCAGTCATCCCCTCCCATTTCCTCCCCCACCCATGGTGTTGTTGTTTCATATTTATTCATCTATCTATCTATCTATCATCTATCATATCTATCATCTATCTGTCTATCTATCTATCTATCTATTTTTGAGGCAGGGTCTCTCAGTTATATAGCTCAGGCTATTCTGCAACTCACTATGTAGACCAGGCTGGCTTCAAACACACTGGGATCCGTCCAGCTCCACCTCCCTGTGCTGACATTAAGGGCATGCACCACCACACCCACATCACCTACCTCTTTCCTTTTATGTCTTATGAATGAGGCAGGAAACCGAGAAACAAAGCATTCATTTTCTTTCAGCATCCATCTTATTTTTCTTAGCTTAATATCCAGTTGCATCCATTTTCTGACAAATGACTGTTTCGTCTGTTTCGTTCTTCTGGCTGAATGAAGCTTCTGTGTACGTCTAACACATTTTCTTTATTAATGGACACCAAGGACCCTAACTTGGTTATGGTGAATTGTGCTGTAGCCAGCATGGATGTAGACGTATCTCTGTGGCGTGTTGATGTGGAACTGTTCAGGTGTGTACCCAGAAGAGGTACAGGTAGGAAACAGTTCTGACACGTGGGATTGCATGAGATTTAAAATCTCCTACTCAGCTGAAGCATAGTGTCCTACTCCTTTAACCCAGCAGAGGCAGGCAGATCTGTGAGTTTGAGGCCAGCGTGGTCTACCAAGCTAGTTCCAAGACAGCCAGGGATACACAGAGAGACGCTGTCTCAAAAACACAGAGGGAGGAAGAGGAGCTCCTGTAGCAAAGGAAAAGAGTAAAGGGCAACCTACAGAGAGGGAGAAGTCCAAATAGCTGTGCATCTGACAGGATTGCCATCGAGAATATAGAAAGAACTCAAAAAGCGAAACACACACACACACAACAAAAACAAGCAATCCAGTCACGAAATGGGCTAATGGAAATTGTGATAAACAGCCAGTTCTCAGAAGACGAAGAAAAAATGACTAGCGAACATTAAAAAGTGCTCGGCGTCCTTAGCCACTCCTGAGGTACAGCTGAAAGCCATGCTGAGACTCTGTCTCTCCACCATCCAGAAAACAAGAGGTGGAAGAGGAATCATAAACTGATGCTGGGCTCACAGACCGGCACAGCCCCTGGAAATCGGTGTGGCGTTCCCTCAAAGAAGCCAGAACTGGTATTCACCTTGCCTCTCCTTCCCTTTCCTCACACACTTGCTACCTGCAGGTCAGCTGTCGGCCTTTCAAAACTACAGTTCCGGGCTGGAGAGATGGCTCAGTGGTTAAGAGCATTGCCTGCTCTTCCAAAGGTCCTGAGTTCAATTCCCAGCAACCACATGGTGGCTCACAACCATCTGGAATGAGGTCTGGTGCCCTCTTCTGGCCTGTAGACATACACACAGACAGAATATTGTATACATAATAAATAAATAAATATTAAAAAAAAAAACTACAGTTCCTGACCCCTGCAGGGATGCCCTTCCGCTCCCTCCTTCCTCACTTCTACCCAAGTCCCCCTTTAATAGTCTCAGCTCTCATCAGCTGCCCCATTTGTTTTTTAGCTCTCTGCCCCCCTCTGCCTGCAGTGCTTTGACTAGTATTCTCCTCCGGCTTTGTACTAGTGCTTAAGTTTCTGTACAGCTGAGCTTTCTTGAGAAATGACCCCGCCTTCCCTCAGATAAATTGTCTGCCAGTGTTTACACAACATTAGACCTTTTTCTGTTGAAACAACTTGGCTATATGGTATCAAATAACAAAGTATCCCTCAAACTATCAATCCCATGGTGGCCCCTCCTGTCAGAAACCTGAAGGAATGACAGTGCTGTAGGAGAATTCTGGTATAATCTTTGTCCCCTCTCTTCTGGGTACTAGGAGCCCAGACATCCAGGCAGCCCTTATCCCTGCTGCTGTCTGCTGTTGGACCTGCAGGAAGGTTTAGGGGAGATCCGTGTGTGCCTCACAGGCCTTTGAAGAAGGGAACTTGGGCATTCAGCTCTGCCACAGTTTTCTGTGGCGAAAGCTGTTCAGAGTCTAAGTCCTACGTAGATTAAAGTATGAAGGCAAGAGAGAAAGTTCCCTAATGCACACCACAGGCCTGGAGGGAGAGGGAAAACTCAAAACTCTTCTAAGGCTGAACCTGCCCTCCCTCCCTCCCCCTCTCACCCCAGGCCTGTGGGCTCAGGTGCTGTTAGCACAGCGCTTCCTGATTTGTTTACTTTTGGTTTTCTTGTCCCCTTGGGTTCCCAGTCCTCTTGTGTCAATGCTTCCAGTGTGCAAGGACTGGGTGTGAACACCACCACACCCAGAGTAACACACACACACACACACACACACACACACACACACACCTCATGCAAAGCTGGTCATTAAGCCCAGGGTCTTTCGGTCTCACCAAGGCTGGGCAAGCACTCCCGCACAGACACACAGTCCTTCCTGCTCCCTGTTTCTGTGTTTTAAAGTATAAGCCACGAAAGCCCACTCTTCGGCACCTGTGTGGATGTATCCTGCCCCAGTGTCTCCACGCAGAGCAACCCCAATGGCCAAAGATTATACTCAGTACAACTCGGGGAACAAAATCTCACCAATGAACACTTTTGAGGTTGGCTGCACTGCTGCACAGTGGGCTGTGCCAGCCTTGCCCTGCTTTCTCCTGCCATATTTTTGTTTATTAATTTGTTAGTGGCTACAGGTTGTGTCACATGCCTGGTTCTCCTGGTTTAAACACTGAGCTTTTAAAAACTGTTATTTTGAATTTCTGCATAAATAGCAATTTTTACTATCAGAGGAAATGATAGTAAACTAAAAATACTCAGTATTTGCGGTAGTTACTCCTTTTTGGTTTTTATTTGTTTATTTTAAAGGCTGTCTTGGGACTGTTATGTAGACCAGGCTCGCCTCAAACTCACAGAGATCCTCCTGCCTCCGCCTGGGATTAAAGACATATGCCACCACACCCAGCTCGCTAATTTTGATTGACCACACCTAGGGGACAGCTTCTAGGCACGTCTGTGAGAGAGTACGTGGATCAGGTTACTTGAGTGGGAAGACCCACTGTAACCATGGGTGGCCCCCTTCCATGAGCTAGGGCCCTGTGCTGAACAGACAGAAGAAAAGAAGCTGAGAGCTACCGTTCATCCTCTCTGTTTCCTGAGGTGGACCCAGTGTGACCAGCTGCCTGAAGAAGTCCATGGCTTGTACCCCTCAAACCATGAACCAAGATAAATCCCCCTTTGGGTTGCTTTTGCCAGGTATGTTGTCACAGCAACAACACACGTGCAGTAGGTATATAAATCTCAGATGTAAAATGTGGGACTGAGGTTGGGGGTCAGCGCCACTAAATGGTGTGATGGCGCACATCTATAATCCCAGCACTTGGGAGGCTGAGGCAGGAGGATGCTCAAGGCTTGCCTGTCTTACAGTACACTGGAAGTAGTAGTGGGAGCAGAATGAAATGAGGGCTTTAGGAAATCAAGCTCGTGAAACAACCAGCTGAAGTTGATATGTGGCTAACGTAAGCCCTTCCACACTGTGGCTCATTATGAAACCATGAGGATTATTAACAATTCACATACTAACAATACAGAAAAGACAGGCTGGGTGGTGGTGGCACACACCTCTAATCCCAGAACTTGGGAGGCAGAGGCAGTTGGATCTTGAGTTTGAGGCCAACCTGGTCTACAGAGTGAGTTCCAGAACAGTCAGAGAAACCCTGTCTCAAAAAAACAACAAACAAGCCCCGCCAAAAAGCCCCAGAAAAGCAACTGATGCAATAGGTAAGGAACAGTGAAACCTTCCCTTTTGTTTGTTTGATTTGGTTTTGAGGTCTCGGAGACTGAGCATGTCGCTTTGCCACTGGGTTCAGATGACATCACATTCAGAACTGTCTGTTCTTACAGTGTCTGATCGGAGTTCTGTTTGCGTTTCTTTGCTGGAGGTGAACTCCTTTAGGCCTGGGTCGAAATGTCTCTGTAATCCCTAGCAGAGTGGAACTTTTTATAGAACTAAGTTTTCTCATTAGTGTGATCTTTACAGTTTTAGGAAATGACTATAATTTCCCATATCCCTTTTTAAAGACACAGATAAAATAAATAAGTTAATATAACATTTATTCTGTATTTGTCAGTACATGAATTAATTCAACTTGAAAACTTTCTCTCTACAGAATATTATCTCTTGAATATGCGCCTCTGATTCACAGAAATACTAATTTTAATGAGGATACAAAATGGTTACTCTTACTTTTTAATGGCTCATCCACTTAACATTTCTATGGCAAAGACCCAACATGTGTGGCATTGTACAGGCCTTCTTCCTGCACCTGGTCACAAATCAGAATGGATACAGTGTTTGTGTTCAGACTGCCACTATATTCGGGTCCCAGTCCCCCATTCCAGACAGAAACACTCTTCCTACTTCCCTGATTGGCATTTATCTTTTTGCTTTGTCTGTGGCTGCTTTTCCCCATCCTGGCTTCTGTTGCCACTTCTTTCCTTCCAACACAGACACACAGGCACACAGACACACACACACCCTGCCCAGGATGAGCTGTGGGAGGTCCTACTACCAAGACATTGATAGGCTTAATCCTAATACACGTTGGCTCTATCTTAATTGGGGCACACATACTTTATATAGATTCATCCTAATAAACTTTTGTCAAGGATCATTACAAAAAATTCTTGTTAAAAATGTGATAAAATGCAGTATGGATTAAAACTTTCAATTCCATATAAGAAACTTTGTTACACAGTAAGACAGGAATTTGAACCTAAAGAAACTCTACAGTTTAAATGAAGATATTAAAAAAATGCAAAAATGGCAGGCAGAAAAGTCAAATCCTGGCACAGTTAGTATTAAACTAGGAAGTAGAACACACTCAATAAAGCCAACAGAAGGATCTTTTCAAACAACAGGGTTCGAAAGTCTAACAATTATTTTAAAAAGTCTGACACAACCCCTAAAAAATTCTCAACTATAAAAATTAAGGCAAATTGAAGTTAGACATTTGCCGATGGAACGAACTGTGCGCCATGTGTACAGGCAAGGCTGGCCCGGGGCCTTCTCACAGGCCAAGAGCCTCACCTCGGCTCAGACGCCACCAGATAGTAGACCAATTAAGATCATCGCCATCTCGGCGCTATCAAGCCCATTGCCGTGGAGGAGAATTGTGCAGACAGCTTCTCTGAAGAGCTCCGTTGGTGCCACCTGCTCTTTATTCTTGGAGGTGGAGGAGGTGGCAAGGAACATGATTTCTGTTGGAAAGTTCTTTTGTTTTCTGCTACCTTTACTTAAATGTTACCAGGTACTATTTTTAATATCCTAAAAAGTGCTTTGAAAAAAAAAGGTTAAGGGAATAGTCACACACACACACACACACACACACACACACACACACACACGTCTCGGCAAGTACTCATAGTCTCTGTCTTGTAAGTGGAGTGAATAATGCTTGACTCTTAAGGGGGTGAAGATAATATATTGAAAAATTGCTAAGTATCTGATAAGCCCCCCGCCTTCAAAAACAAATTAGAGTCTAGCTGATAAATGTTCATTAAAGGCAGATTTCAATTAAAATTCCTGTGAGTGATTAATGATGCCTAAATTGATTCCTTTAAACTGGTTGGTTTAAGGCCAAAAGGGTGTAAATTGAGTCAGAATCTTTCTACATATTTTTCACAGAAGGTCAAACTGCTTGAAATGCATCCTATCATAATAAAATATTTTATAGTAGACTTCCAAGCTATCTGATTCCTGCTTTTTTTCTTTATAAAAATGGAACAGTTTGGGCCATCCTAGATTCCTCTATAATTTGGCCACATAGCAGATATATCAGATTGCAACCCACTGATGAATTTCTGCATCCTGTTTCCAGACAGAAACGCTCTTTAAGTCCTTAGAAAAGCCAGAGAAACCAATTAAGAATAAAGTATTCTATTTCCAGATGGAAATTCTCTTTAAGTCCCTAGAAAAGCCAGAGAAACCAATTAAGAATGAAGAAGAATATATTTTCTTATAAAAACAATCAATCAATCATAATGGCTCCTAACCAAAGGTGTATTTATCAAACAGCAGTATAAGGAACACACACACACTAAAACTTGAAACTTGGGGCTACTTTTTTACCCCCAAAATTACGTAGTTACTTTCCATTTTTCAAGATCCCCAAATCTAAAATACCCTTAATAATTGCTAAGTGCTGTATATTTTATAGCTTTTTCTCATTCATAAGAGATTATTAGAAACTTTAATGCAAGTATATTGGCTTGGAGCCATTCTAATAGTAAATAGATACAGGATTATTTAAAATACTGCAAAGTGCACCAACCTTAATCAGGCATTTAAAACTGTTCATTTTAAACATATTTGCTGGTAGCTATACAAGTCTATTAGCACCGTACAGTGGGTTATTCTCTCAAAGATGATTTAGCAGTGATTTGGTTTCATGTCTAAAAGGTACACAATTAAAAGAAATGTATTGGGGGGGGGTTCTAAATTGAATGATGCCCCCATCACCTGTTGAAAACATAAAGGTAGGCAAGCCAAGAATCTTGCTAAACATCCAGCATTTGGTTAAATTCCAAAGCCACGTTGGTTACTTCTGTAAGAGATCACAATAGGTATTTACAAACTGAAAGTACAGGAGAAAGCAATGGACACATATGCAGGCCATCATCACTGTTAAGTGCAGGGCAGATGAAAACCACTGGCGCTCCCGCCTCCGGAGGATGCTCTCCATCAGCCCCCTCCATCTGCACTGCCTTTAACATCATCACTGGGTCAGAGAGTGGGGCGGGGTGCTGTACAGTATGAACCCTCACCCGCGGGGCTGGGAAGCATGTTACACTATCATGGCTAGACACATCGGAAAAACACCGGTGTTAAAAACCTATGCTTTAGCATGAATTTTGACTTTTTATTCACTCGTATACATAGTTCACGTTTGGCCAAGAAGAAATACTTTCAGAAGAATATTACAGTTTTCCTGGGCCTCCAGAAGTCGTTCCGCTAGAGGGAATCCTCCATCATCTGGGGAGTTTGCCTTCTGGATGAAACATACTATTCCCTTTATGTATTTGCTTCTAATGTCTCAGCAGACAGTCCACACGGAGATGGGTATATACAAGTCTGCTGGGCAGAAGACGGGGTGAGAAGAAAACACACTCCCGGTTGCCACGCTTACACACTTGTTAACACTCGCCTGGCTGAAGGAACCTGGGAATGGCTTTTGGAAGGAGCTTGTGCGGGACTAGAAACCCTCTCACCTGACTCACCACGAGAAAACATACTGTAAAAGCAAAGCAAAGGCAGCGTTCGCCTTTACACGGGGTTGACCCGTCAGAAAAAAGCCGGACTTCGTGACGCAGGGAGCCTAAGCATACCAGTGTTCCATAAGTAGTCTTCCTCAAAGCACAGAACTCATCGCTGGTCACTTCTGCACCTTCCTGTGTGTCACTGCGTCCTGTGATTTGTGCTGACTGCCTCCCTCCAGTCCAGAAGCGATGGTGTTTGGGTGAGTTTTATAAACTTCATTTATTCTTCAGCCCTTCTGGGTTGGAACCGTACCTTTAAATTCCACAGATGGAATTTATTACTGAGAAAGAGGTGTCACAAATGTATAAAATAATTCATCTGTAGAGTGTTTTTTTTTTCCTTTCCCATGATCTGGGAATGAAGTCACTGTAACAGAGTATTTATTTTATTATCCTCGGAAACCATTTCATTAACCAGCTGTTCTACAGACAACTGGATAGCATTCTTGACGAGGGAAGAGGCTGTTTCTATTAACAGTGTTTCATATTGTTCTGAAGTTCTCCCTTCGAAATCACTATCATTAGCAAAAACCCCTACTTGCTCATTTTCCATTGACATTAGGAATTGCTTAGGGACATTTTTAGATTTCTTAACATCAAATTCACTGATTTCAGTGTCTGTAATGATAATAGCAATTGGCTCCATTCTTTTGCATTCCTCTGATCTGGGTTTCTCTGTATCAATTCCATTTTCTTTCAGATCTGGTGCCTGGGCCATTACAGCTTCCTCTGCCTGGGCCACTACAGTTTTCTCTGCCTGGGCCACGACAGCTTCCTCTGCCTGGGCCATTACAGCTTCCTCTGCCTGGGTCACGACAGCTTCCTCTGCCTGGGCCACGACAGTTTCCTCTGTCTGGGCCACGACAGTTTCCTCTGCCTGGGCCATTACAGTTTCCTCTGCCTGGGCCACGACAGCTTCCTCTGCCTGGGCCACGACAGCTTCCTTCGCCTGGGCCACGAGAGCTTCCTTCGCCTGGGCCACGAGAGCTTCCTTCGCCTGGGCCACGACAGCTTCCTCTGCCTGGGCCATTACAGCTTCCTCTGCCTTGGCCACGACAGCTTCCTCTGCCTTGGCCACGACAGCTTCCTCTGCCTTGGTCACAAGAGCTTCCTCCACCTGGGCCACTACAGTTTCTTCTGCCTTGGCCACGAGAGCTTCCTCTGCCTGGGCCACGACAGCTTCCTCTGCCTTGGCCACGACAGCTTCCTCTGCCTTGGTCACAAGAGCTTCCTCCACCTGGGCCACTACAGTTTCTTCTGCCTTGGCCACGAGAGCTTCCTCTGCCTGGGCCACGACAGCTTCCTCTGCCTTGGTCACAAGAACTTCCTCCACCTGGGCCACTACAGTTTCTTCTGCCTTGGCCACGAGAGCTTCCTCTGTCTGGGCCACTACAGTTTCCTCTGCCTGGGCCACTACAACTTCCTTTTCCTGGGCCACTACAACTTCCTTTTCCTGGGCTATTACAGCTTCCTTTGCCTGGTACAAAGCACTTTTGTCTGCCTGGCTGACAGCAGCTTCCTCTGCCTGACTCAGTGGGGTTTCTTCCACCTGGCCCTGCACAATGTCACTAGCTTTCTTTTCTCCAGCAGCACCTTCTCTACTTCTGTCACCTTTCGCACTGGGTGCACGGTCTCGGATGCTGTCACTGGGTTTGTCCACACCGCGTTCATACGCGGTGGCTGGTGAGGCAGGAACACGAGAAGCCACTGGACGGGTGCTGTCTGCTTCTGAACTCTCAAGTGGACTTGCTTGCTGCGCTTGTACACCTGGCTTTTCCTTAATCACTTCAGCTTCCTTTTCCAGCACGGGAGTTCCCATCTGAATAGCAGAAGACTCATCTTTTAATTCCAGTTCTACGGAAATCACATTCTCTCCAGATGTGATGTTGCGGCTGACCTGCGGTTCTTGGACATCTTTACCCTCTTCCACCAACACACCTTCCTGTGGGCCCTGTGTGGACTTAGCCTGGCTTGTCTGGTCAGCCGGCTGGGTCTGGGTTTTTATCTCCAAATCCTCAGCCCCTCTCTGCTGGACTCCCATGTTGTAGTCTGAGTCTTCCGTGAGTTTAGAATGACGACTTCTCTTTGCCCCTCTTGAGAATCTTATGCAAGGAATCTTAAGTCTGGATTTTGCCTTTTTCTTAGGAAGAGCTGCATCCTCGGGCTGCTCTTCAGCCGCAGATGGCTTCTGCGCCTTCGAAGACGCTGACCTTTTCCTAGGTGTCACAAGGCGTTTGATGGAGGCCCAGGCCCCGGCTGGCTGTGGCTGATCAGAGGCCCCGGCTTCTGGGGGACGTGTCTTGGTCCCCTCGGCAGTCTTGGAAGCAACCTTAGACTTCATCTTGCTTGCTTTCTTCCTTCTCTTGAAGCAGAGCGTGGCTCTGTTCCTCTCCTGCCTCTCTTTCTGAGGACACACAGCCCCTGGGTCCTTTTCATCCTTCGTTTCTATCTGAATCTCAGAAGCTCCGCTCTCCATTTTCACGCTAGACTCTTTCATTCTCTGAGGAGTGTCTTCTCTCTTCTTCTTGAAGTCCTTTGTGACAAAAATATCACACCAAGCCCGGCTTCTCCCGGGTGTCCACCCTTTCACTCCACAGCTGTTTCAGCGGCTTCTTCAGGACAAAATGCCTTATTTGTCTGTTGCTTGCGATTTCTTCCTTTAATTTCCCCTTGGAATGAAAGCTCTTTCCTGGGTAAACTTCTCCTCTATTCAAAGACCAACCTGAGAAGAGAAAAGATGGGGTTTTATTTCAGCACAAGCCTAGTATTTTTCATACAGACTGCATCACGTGGGGCATATGCTCCACAGAACATACTGGAACAACCATGGCTGCAAAGTGAGGCTTGCTTTTGCCCTATTGAAAAAAAGATTCCAGTGTGAACCCATTTTGCTTTATCATTTTTGTTAAAACTTCGTTGGAGGTCACTCTGCACGTATGCCCTTGCCCTTAGTTGACTTCTCCATGAATTGTTCACGGCCCCACACAGAAAGTTTAGCAAACACAAAAAACAACAGGGGGCCAGGTGATAGGCAGCTGGACTTCTTTCTCGTCACATCCAGCGAAGAACGGTTGGTACTGCTAGGGGCTTAGAGATGACTAATCATGTCGAGCCCAATGACAGAACTGAGCTCCCAAGTGGGTGGTGGGCTCGCAGGAAGCCTTAGGCTAGATGAGGTCCTAGCCAGAGTTAGCAGCAGAAATCTTGACTCTCTAGTGTTCTTTCTATTGTGGCATACGGTTTCTGTTCTAAAAATGTACATCCCATCAAGGAGGTGCTACTTTCCATACACACTCAGAAAAACCCAGCATTGCTGTCTTTCTCCCGTCCTCAAGACGTTGTGTAACTCTGACATCTCTCCCCACAAGCGTCTGCCACTCATACTTTCCTGCTGTAACTGCGCAGAGCTGGAGGTAAGTTAGTGAGGTCATAGCCAGCACTGGTTGTGCAACTCTTGTGTTACGAGGTGGCGTGGAGCACTTTCACAGGTGTCTCTAACCTGCACCACGGTATCCCGGAGTGAGGAGGTGGTGAGATCTCTCCATCTGCAGTTAAGCAGCCTGCCTGAGATTACAAAGCTAGTCAGCCACAGTGCTCAGATTTAGCCTGAGACTGCCTGGCTTCTGAAGCCCGTGCTTTAGTTCCGTGAGACAGTGGAGCGCTTTAAAACACGCAGCCGAGGCTGGTCTCGGTGGTGCACGACTGCCATTCCGGCGTGTAGGAGGTGGAGGCGGGAGAATCAGGCAAGGTCATCCATAGCTATACAGTGCAGTTGAGGCCAGTGCTGGCTACACGAGACCCCATCTCAAGAGAGAAAAAGGAGAAAACTATGCTTTGGATCTGGGCACAGAGCTCAGTGATAGCACTGGTTTAGCATGCCACAAGGTAAGGGATTTGGTCCCCAGTGCCCCCCCCCCAAAATACCAATCTACAGAATAGAATGGCTTAAAGAATGGGGACATAGGGTAATCACACAACAATTCTATGGATTTTAGTTGACAGATGTCCTGAGTTAGGCAAATTATTCTGCTTGCATGTAAATTTCTCACTGCTCTCTCATTTGGGTACCAGCTCCTAATTCTCTGTAGAACTGGAGCCCTGAAAAATCATTTAAAGATCTAAGGAGATTTTTTTTTAAGGTAGGCATTACATGTTTCATCTTCCTACACAGAAATATAAAATTCTAGAATAATGATGGAACCAGAAACCATGTACAATCTCTCCTCTCTCCTCACGCACCCTTTATAAGCACTAGAGCCCAGTCTTAATGGCTCCAAGCCTGAGCAAACATTCCTTCTAAGCAGAGGATGTATGGATAGAAGAAATATTCAAATGCCATCATATCCGGAAAGTATCTGAAACTAACCGAATGGCCGAGGGGTTTGCAGGAGAGGCTTCTCTGATCGTGCATCACTGTAGAAATGAGTACCCCAACAAGTGTATCCCAGGCAGGGAAAGGATGCAGCCAGCAGGAGTTAAAACTTTGCAGACTGTTGAGACTGCAAATGATTCGCCTTTACCTTCCAGTGGAGCACGATCGCCTTGGAAACCTTAACGTCCCTGCTCTCCTTCGCTGGCAGAATCTCACGTCTAAGGCCACAGAAAACAACCACCACCCTTACCCCTCCTTGGGCAGCAAAGAGCAATCACTATCCAAGCAGAGCAAGGAACCTTTCCCAGCACCAGACACAAACCGCTAAGCTTCCTCCTGGAGGAAGGACTCTATCCTCCAGGCTTGACACCCCCGTGCAAGAGACAGGGCTCAGGAGAAAGTGCTCAGAAAGGAAAACACCGGAGGCATGGAAGAGATAGCCCATCTTTAAGCTAGCTGCAGAATTATCATAGACCTTAGCCGAGAATCACAGTTCCCCAAAAAGCCTTGAAGAAGGAAAACGGATAGGTAGCCGCTGCCAAGACTCCAGCAGCACCGCATGCGAAGCGAGCGGGCGGCAGAACTGCCCAGAGTCACCCACCTGGAGACGCCTGAGGACCAGGCGACCTTGCAGTCCGCGCCCCTCGCTGTCTGGTGACCCGGACCCCGGTTCTGCCGCCGCCGTCACCTGCCCACTAGGGACTCAGTGCATCCGATCCAGACCCAGAGCCTCTGGTCCTGCCTCCACTTACCCAGAGCGTCGCGGTCTCGGGCCAGCTCTGCTCCCGAGGTCGGGGCGCATGGGCCCAAACAACGGGGAGCTCCGGAAGCCGCGGAGCGCGCAGCCCTCTGCAGAGGGACCGCAGCCGCACGCCCCCTCCCCAGTGCGGAGAGAGACAGCTGGCCGCGCCAATGCGAGCGGAGCAGCGGGGCGGGGCGAGGGGCGGGGGCGGGGCAAACCCAGCCAGCCACCTGCCAGCCAACTGCCCGGCCGCCTGGAAGAGACCTTCGTGCTCCCGCCCCATACGCAACCCCGCTGCATAATGACATCAGGGTCTGGGTAGAGGGACCAGCAAGGGAGAGCAGGAGGACCGCAAGGAGAAGAGGGGAGAGGACCCCTCATTTCCTGAGACTCACAGTCGCAAAAAAAAAAAAAGAGAAACGTTTGAAAATGCGAGGCGCCCACCATAAATTCCTCTCGAACATTAAAGACAAGGTAGACAGTTTATCTTCAAAGAAAGATTGATGGGGTGGAAAAGATGGCTCAGCGCTGAGCAGCACGTATTTCCTTTTCCAGGGGATCCGAGTTCGATCCCCATTACCCACATCAGGCGGCTCCCAACCACCTGTAACCAACTCTACAGGGATATCTTGCTTCTGTGGGCAAAATACACTCGCATGCACATGCCCGCTCTCCCTCCATAACTAAAAATAAATTTAAAAAGCAAGACCCATAACCGTACAGAATCATAAGGGGTCATCTGGAAAAAAATATTTTGAGACAGGTCTCAGTGTCTAGCTCTGGCCGACCTGGCATTATGTAGACCAGGATGGCACCCAGCTCACAGAGATCTACCCACCTCTGCCTCTGGAGCCACACCTGGGTAGAGAGAAAATTATGTATATGGTAAGAAACTGAAACAAAACCAGCTTTGTCAAACAGGACCCCAGACCTACAGAGGCCAAGCTGAGGTCTGCTGGAGGGATGTGGTCATCTACATTCATAGGGCACAGGTGAGGGGCGTATAGAACACAGCCCGTCTAATGTCTCACCTAGAAGCACAGCTGCTTTTAGCATTCCTTGGGGGTTGCTCACCTTGTTCCTCTCAAGAGGGGATGGAGATAAGAGCACTTGCCATTCCAGCCCCATTTGGAGCAGAAGGTGCTGGCAGAGTCCACACTCCGGAGCAGGAAGGTGTCGTGTTGGGTGAAAAACAGCCCAAGTACATTTCTGTGCACATAAGGTGTGGCTTCCACAGCTCAGGGCCAGTGATTTGGGGTGTTTTCAAGAGCTTCAGCTAAGGTCCTGTAAATGACATCCCAGCCTCCTCCAGGGTTTTTCTTGGCACAGAGCTCAGGAGCCCCAGGAACGAATAAAAACAAGACCCTTCCCTTTTTCTTGAGGGGACCAAGATCTCTGGGAGGGTTAATCTCGGATGTCCACTTGGGGATGGTTTTTCTAGGAATATATTTTCCCTTCCTAAGATTTCTAGTCTAGACTTATTCCACCAAGACTTGATAAGGAATAAATTCTTGGGACACAAAACTGATAAAATTCTAAGTTAAGCTTGTAGGTTAAAAGTTAGTGATAAGAACTGTATGTAACACAGGAAAACCAGATACAGGCAAGCTGTAATTACGGAGTTTGAAGGAGGGAGCTGCAGAGGTGTTCAAAGGTTAAGAGTTCTTCCTGATTGGCAGAGGACCAGAGTTCAGTTCCCAGCACATTTCAGGTCACTCATGGCTGCCTTTAACTCCAGGCCCAGGGGATCCTACATCCTCTTCTGGTTTCTATAGGCATGCGTCCACGCGCCACACACACACACACACACACACACACACACACACTCACACACTCATGTTGGATGTTCACTCAGTTTGTATAGCATTTGCCTGGCGTGCACAAAGCCTGGGGTTCACACATGGTAAAACATGCCTGTGGTCCCAGCACTCAAGAAGTAGGGACGATAGGATGAGACTTTGAAAGCCATCCTTGGCTACATAGGGAGTCTAAGGTCAGACTGGGCTATATGAGACCCTGTCTCAAAAACCGAAATGAACTTGATTTAGCAAACACAGGCGAGTGAAAATGGTCTTTTTATCCCCACGTAGGTTATGTTAACCCTGCTTCTACGTCCTCTCGAACTTGAAACAAGCTGAAGAAATCCATGCCACTCAAGCAGTAGAGGTGCTGTGATGTCAGCACCAATCTAGCAGACCTGGGAGTTGGCAATCATTTAGGAAAAGAAGCAAAAGAAGGCTGATTGTGAAAAGGACAGGGTAGCACAGCTATTAGAAAGCAGCTGGAGCCAGGGGTGGCAGTGCAATCCGAGGACTTGGGTGGCTAAGGCAGGAGGATGCCAAGTCCCTAGCCAGGCTATGCTACATAGCAAGCTCCACTTAAAAAAATAAAAAGCATTGGGAGAGGAGAGATGCAGGTTGAAATGCCAGCAATAAAGAGAATCTTAGAAACTTGTAGCTCTCCTACTTCCTTTGCTTCCAAAAAGAAGCTGAACACATTTAACAGCTAGATTTATCTTCTAAGGGAAAATATGATTTATATGATCAATAGCTTATCTGACACCTCTCTCTCATGCGCGTGCATGCACACACGCACACAAAGAAGAGAGAATATTACTATAAATAAAATTCCGCATTTGTGGCTTTTCTTTAGGATATGATGAGAACTCGATGCCAGATGTTTGAACAATGCACTCGGTACCTCATGCTTGAAAGAAAAAGAAACCTGTCATTCCTAAACACACTTAAGTGACAAGACTGCTAAGCTATTACTGTATTATTATTGCCTACTACTCCATTTGAATTATATAATTAGGAAATGAGCTATAAATACCCCTCCAATCTGATGAGGAACTATTCTCCTTCCAGATAATCTCATTAATGTCACAGATACAGCGTGTCAATAAAGTAGCCTACATATGCCTCTGAACATCACTGAATTGAATATATGATCTCTTCCATTCTGGTCCCTATCCACACGGTCCAGGCTTTTAGCTACCAAAATGGTCTCAACTCCTTGTTAACAATTCTTAAGTTCTTGAACCTTTCTCAGAACCAGCCTTCCATGTACCTTCCTCCGGCACACCATCTAGTGAACCGGCGGCTCCAGGTCCGGGAGGTTGGGGGACGGACGTTGATCTATTTGTGGGCACCACGAGAGCTGCAGGGAGCCAACGCAAAGCCAAGTGCCTTACTTGGCAGCACAGGCATACCGCTGTCACACTTAAACTATGTGTATATACATCTTCCCCGTGCACGGCCCCTGAGGGGCAATCAGGAGGCACAGTCTGCTTCTCAGGGATCCTACCAATATGGAGAGGGGAGTGCCAGAAGATAAGACTGGAGGCCAGCAGATCTGGTGGACTGCTAGTCCCATGGTGAAGGGATAGGACTTGCTCTGGCGACATGGACATATCCCCTCTGCACTGATACTTCTATAGGCATTTTATACACTTTGCTGCAGGTATCGCATGCCTTCCTCTGTACTTGTGGCACCTTCGGGCAAAGATCCAAGAATAAGGAACATAAAATCCTTGCCCACCAGGATTGCTCAGCAGCCACCAGGACCTCATCTCCTTTAAACTTCCATACACCTTAGTTTCCTCTTCCTTCTGGAGGCAAGCAGGATGGACCCAGTCTTCTACTTTGCACAGTTTGGTAGGAGCTGCCTTCTAGGAACTGCTAAGAGGCAGCAGAGAGCAGAGTGTTTGGAATAAGGTGACAGCAGACACCAGCCCTGGGAGCCCTGAAATACTCTTCCATAAAATGAGACAGAAGCCCAAGTGATTACAATACACGTCCACATTTCAGAGCAGGTGTCAGCTCTTGCTGTGAAGTTGGAGTTTCACTGGCAGGGATCAGTTGTGTGGATGCTTGCACACAAGTTGCAAAGACACATGAGAATTTCCCCGCTTTTTTTCTACCAATATGTTATTTACTTGTTGCTTTGTTGAACAAACCCAGGGCCTTACACATGGCAGGCAAGCAATCCACCATTGAGCTACACCTGAAGCCCTATGCTACATCCTTTCTATAGTAAAATCCATAGGGCTGGAGAGATGATTCAGCCGAGAAGAGTGTGTGCTGCTGTATTAGTAGAACCCATGTCAAGTAGCTCACAAATACCCATCCAGTTCCAGGGGATCCAATGCTACTGGCCTCCATGGGCACCAGCAAGTTCCCCCACACTGATACAAACACATCATTAAAAATTAATCTTTTGGCTTTTCTTTCCTTTTTTATTGTTTTTTTTTTTTTTCAAGACAGTTTCTTTGTGTTGCCCTGGCTGTTCTGGAACTCACTCTGTAGACCAACCAGGCTGTCCTCAAACTCAGAGACTCACCTGCCTCTGTCTCCAGAGTGTTGGAATTAAATGCATGTACCATCACACCTAGTTTAAAACTTAAAAACAAACAACCCCCCCCAATTAAAATTACACGTCTTTAAATCCCATCACTCTGGGAGGCAGAGGCAGGAGGATCTCAGACTGGTCTTCATAGTCAGAGATACACCCTACCTCCCAAAAATCAGAAAAAAAAAAAAAAACCTTTAGGGGCTGAAGAGCTCCTCATTGGTTGAGAGCACTTATTACTCTTCCAGAGGACCCAAGCCAGGTTCTTAGCACCTGTCAGGAAGCTCACGATCACGAACACCTATAACGCCAGCTTCAGGGGATCTAACACCCTCTTTCAGCTTCTACAGGTACCCATACATATGAAAATAAAGTGAATTAAAAATAATTGGTCTTTTAAATCTCCCCCCCCCTTTTTAAAGATTTATTTATTTATTATATATACAACATTCTGCCTTGATGTATGCCCACATGCCAGAGGAGGGTGCCAGATCTCAGTACAGATGGTTGTGAGCCACCATGTGGTTGCTGGGAATTGAACTCAGGACCTCTGGAAGAGCAGCCAGTGCTCTTAACCGCTGAGCCATCTCTCCAGCCCCTCCCCTCTTCTTTATATTCATTTGTCCACTATTCTTTCCAGTACTGAGGATCTACTTCCCCAATGTTTGGCAGGATGGAGGAAGCCTGCATCCTTTAAGATGGTCTCTAAGTGTCGCATAAGATTGCTTGCTTGCTTCCTGTTTACACAGTGATCACCTAGCAAATTCCATCCCGGATGATATTCTATAGACTACTTGGAAG